TGTAAGACAATTCTAGTGAACAGAACTGAAGATGCGTTTAAAAGCAATAACGTCACTTGAGTCACTACACGTTTGCTCAGAATGCTTAAAGTGAAATAAATACAATATGTGATATTAAATACTTGAAATAATTTTAACGCTCTCTTGCTATTCCACATTTCAAATTTTGATTACACATATCTAACAGTAAAAGAGCTTATTTGAAGTTATAGAAAATTTGGAGTTATAATGAGCAAGATTATGTTAAATTTAAATGAAGAATCATGCACGGGTGTGAGTGTGAAAGTGTTTTGAGTTGTCTATAAATGTGGTTACGGCTTAGTGACAAAATATTTGTAATATTGGAACAACAATCAGTAGTTGAAATGGAAGTAAGAACAGAGTAACTATATATTATATATATTTTAGACTAATTGTTTTGTTTTAAATTTTATAGTAAAGGCTGTCAATGGTGGGGGATTGTTCAAAGTTCGATTTGTATAGCACTGCAGTCTAGACAAATTCAATTTAGCATTAGTTGTTGTGTATTTATATTGTTCGATTAATATGACTTGAGCTTTTTTTTATCTATTTTTAAAGTTGCTTGTATTATTTGGGTCTTAATATTTGGACTCAAAAACAATATGCGCATGCTTTTATGTATATTGTCAATTCGAAAAGTGGCCTGTTTTATTTTATTTACAGGCAATTTGTTAAATGTCGAACATTATTAATGTTTTTAATAGCATTGATGAAACTCGGCATTTTTCGCATTGCTTGCCATTTGCAACACTGTTTGTGAAATAGCTCAAAATAAAAGTTTAACTTTTTCCATTATTGTTTCGAAGTGAAATTGTAAAGTAATAAAAAAATTGGTATCCCTTGACTCATTTTAAATTAATGAACCAATAGAAACATTTTGCATACATATAATCTTAATGAGCGGTCTGTAAATTGTAATTAACCTGTAGTTGTAATTACGTAAATCATGTATGTCAAGATAAGTTTTCAAGATCACATTTTAAAAATATTTAATGCTGTTGCACAAATAACCAAATGTTCTATCATATAATGTTTTATCAAAATTAGTGATCACTTGTTGAGTTGCACATTTGTTAGCATGTACTTAAAGCAGTTTTAGAAACATAATGTTAAGATAAAAATACTCTGTTTTGAAATTATACCGGTTTTAGTGACAGAGATATCCTTTGTACATAAATATTTTTCTAATACCAAATCATTATCTAAAACTTTTGTATTGTATAAATTTTTAATAAATGTGCCAATTTGTTCGTATTGATGTGAAAAGTTTTCGGAGTGTTTCTCTTTAGGACGTCATCATGGGAAGAAAAAAAATTACATTTGCTATTGATTTAATAGTTTATTCCATTGTTTATTGCATCAGTATCTTTTGTGTGTCTTTGTTATAACCAAGGGTTTTATAAGTACGGGCGCCCGCAGAAGTTTAATAACGAAAGAAATCTTCTATTGGATTACTTCCACCTCGCCCTCACTCTTTCATCACATTTTTCATTCACAACCAACTGTTACTCAACAAGGGTACTCGTGTGCTAATTATTTTGCAACTATAAACTATATTGATTGGTAGGGAATGCCTCAAGGCATTAAGTACGCCCTTGTATTCTTTTGATTTAAGGAATGCAATAAAGAATAAATATAAATTGTAATATAATTTATTTGCAAAATAGGTAGCTATAATTTATAATATATGGCCGCTAGTGCTAGCCTAGGGCGCTGTCGATATTTAATCTGCCTCCGTTCTGTTATCAATTTATAATTGTGGTTAAAACACTTGAAAGCAATGTTCACAATATACACCTATTATTATTTCTGTCTCTGTATATGCAGAGCAATATTGCAGATTGTGGCAGTTGTTTTGCAACAATATTTATCTATTAACAAATAGACAGTTACATTATTCTATAGTAAGAGATATATATATATATATATATATATATATATATATATATATATATATATATATATATATATATATATATATTAATTTTATAATTTCACTGTTATCCCAATGGCTCGGAAATAACTGTTATTGTGGTGTCTATTTGTTGTAATTTACAGTTGTCACAAGATAAACTGAGGTTGTGACTTGCATCTTTTTATATTTTAGCTGTATTAACATGTTATGTGAGTGAAGATTTATAGACCAATATAAAGCAGATAATCATGTATGTGAAATAGGTTATAATGAAAAACACCTAAAAGCGTAATAATACTTTAATCAAATCAATACAAAGAAAAAAAAATTAAAACTCATGAGAGTACCCAAGTAAATATTCGTTTAAATAAAATTAAAGTTTTCATATAGGCTGACTTATAAGTTATTGTTCATAAAGTATTTAGTTCAACCGAAAACCAGAACAGAGATTTAATTTGTAACTTATTGGGAGGCGGTTAATAAGTATAGTCATATCGATTAATGATAATTCTTCACAAAAATATGAATTATTATATTATATATTTTACATTACTTAGTATGGATTTTTGTTAGATATCCTTTTTAATCCTTTGCATACTCTTAGTGGTGTGCAATTTTAATAAGTTGCAATATATTATATCCCTTTTATATTAATTTCGGCACAAAGCTAGTTCATTATCTAAACCTTTTTTAATTTCCTAATTGTTATAACTAATAAATGATTATCTGTTATTTTAAAATAGTTTGTATTTTTTGTCGTTAAATATGCTCTACTTATTAAACTTTCACCCGAGGCAAGTGTGACATATATTAATTTAAACTATAACTGACATTTAAGTACTATAAGGATTTAACATAGATAATTCAGTTTCTTAGCATTAATTGTTAAGTGGTTGTTTGTTTGATCAAGCATTTTAGTATTTACAAGTAGCATTTTGTAATTTAAGGTAATTAAAACTAATTGAGGTGGAAGACTGTCACACTTACCCATCAATGAGGTAAGTGTGACAGTACGCTTCTTTTTGTAGTTAATCATTTATTACCTGTGGTTTTCGACAAAATTGATGAGATGATACTAACGTCAAAATATTTTATGATCTATGGAAACGATTAGAACATCCATTTTTGTGTATGCGTTTTTCCCCACATGGGGCAAGTTTTCAGAGTTTTTAAAAATAAAACGGCTGTCGATAAAACATTAGAACCTATGTACTTAACTGTCGATATAGTCAATAGCGTAAAATTTCTGGCGTTCAATAGTTTGAATTAAACCAAAAAACGTGTTTATGCCGCAAAATTTGCATTTGTTACACTTGCCTCGGGTGACCATAAACAAAAAAAATTTTCAGAGGAATATATACAAAACAAACAAATTGAAAATTATAGTTCCATGATTAAATAGTTCAATTTGTTTCACTTTTTATTTAGGCAGGTTATAATTTATTTGATGGATAACTTTCTGAGGCTTGAAACATTAGCTCTTAGTATATAAAAATTACACTTTTTAGCTCGTGACGAGAATTTTAATTTGAAAGGTCAAGGTTATTATGATATATTATGGGGGTTTTGATGTTTTCAATATATATAATTATATACTTACGATAATTTTACGAAACACAAAATCGAAGAATATGAATTATATGTGTAAGTATTGATGTTAAAAATACACTTAGAGTAAAAAATAGCTGATAATTTTTTTAATTTGTTGCAATTACAGATTTTAATAATCAAGTAGATGATATTCGGTTGTACATATTAAACTGTTGTTATAATATGTTTTAAAATTTGTATTTTCCGTTTTCTAAGTATGTAGGTAATCTTACAAAAAGGTAAAAAGCTCTCATGATGTCCCAATCTTTTCTTCAAATTTTATTCTTAAAATGAAAGTGGAAAATCTCCCTTTCTCGAAAAATTTACATTGTCTAAAGAGGCCAGTTAACAAATATAAATATTCACTTTGAAATCAGTAAAAATCTATACTTTGTTTTAGTTAAATTTTCGAAGTATTCGAGCCTCTTATCATTGCCTATTTAGTGCCATATACTTGCGTTCAGACGCAACACTAGTCGCATTCGCGACTAAAAAGCGTTTCCAAAACGCAATGTAGTGAATGAACTTGTTAATTATAATTCGTGAGGCAAACATACACTCCGTTATACAAAATTAATGTTGTTTGTGGTTCAAAAAGTTATCAAGTGACAATAAACAAATTTGTCATAAAACGTTATTATATGCATTTATCATTAAAAAGCCTCTCTTTTATAATATAACCGAGCTTTATCTACATTCTTTATTCGCATCTGTCTTTAAAAAGGCATGTGTAGGATATGAGGCCTGTGTTCGCTAATACTTTGTTTTAATATGCCCGTGATGACAATAATTATAAACTTTGGACAGTTATTATGTAAGTGTCATCGCCATCGAGTTCCAAGATGGCGACGCCGGTCCGCACGCGCCTATGACGCGTTCGTAAATTGGTTTTGGTTTAGTCGTTAGTGGAATAACAATGTAAAATACAATAAAATTCTTATTTTACTGTTCATTCTTTTATTTCAAAAAATAATATATAATTCACAAGTTGTCGTCATTGCAGTGACGAGCGTCCAGCTTTCAAATTTATGAAGTGTTACAGAAATACATACACTCACAATTATAATGAGGTGTTACAGCAATACATACATTAACAATTAAATTGACTGATAATTTCAGAGACAAACCTTCAATTATGTAATTACTTAGGAGAGAAAATTAATTAAAATTAAGAAATTTAATTTTCTCTGTTAAATTTTAGTTGATCGTTGAATATTGCAACACTACAATATTTTAAAGCTTTGACAATGAAGGGTAAAAACCCTAACATACTGAATCGGTCGAAATCCCTATTTAACTCTCTCTTTTTAGCCTGTTGTGGAATTTAAAACATCCAATATTATTTAAAAAAAAGAAAGTCCCTTTTACAATTTATCACTTGCTTCTTATCCTAAAAGAAACCTATCAGATTTGTGTCAAAAATGCTTAAAAAATATAATTTGCATAAAAAATGTAATTCAGATATTTAAGGCTATTATTCTCTTTTGTGGTTGTCTTCTGTTGTCATTGCTTCCGGAAGCCTTCCCGATGGTGATATATTTTGGATAATCTGCAAAAAACATTATACAAATTAAAGAATTAATATGTGTAGATAACATTCGCCATAAATGTTAAAGTTACAGCCTATATACGTCCCACAGCCAGGGCACAGGCCTCTCCTGAGAGGGTTTTAGGGAAAGGAAGCGCTGCCTCAATGCCTGTTGGCGGACTTAATATGAGTGAAATATTTTTATTTAAATTTTTTTCAGACATGCAGGTCACTGTTTTCCTTCACCACCGGGCACGTGGTAAATCAACACTTAAAATTGCAATTAAAAATTTCATTGGTGCCGGCGGGGATTGAACCCGGGTTAAAACGGAGCTAAAACGACACATTTGCTATAAAGTTATCTCATTTCTTGCGTTTCATAAGAGACTGCTCAAACAGCATGATGGCGGTCCCTTTTCTTTCCTTTCACTTAAAAATACGCTTCTTTTTTCTTTTCTGTCGGTGCTTTAAATCAACGATATGTTATCAGATTTGATAAACCACAAATCCTAAAAACACTGATTTCTACCACGGATGATGCGCGACGCTATTGAATTTAAAAAGACATCCCAATTTCAATAGAGAACATGGTTGGGTGCTACCATCTGCTTGGGATTCCATAATTAATAAAATTAAATCCAAACCCAAGCATACCACTGTTAGACTTCAAGACACTGTAAGCTCGTTCTGCGTAGGTCGCACTAAAATTAATTATTATAAGTTGAAGGTAGCTTTCGTTAAGTGTGACATTGGGAATTCAAACACCTCAGTCCGTAACCAGACGCGCTGTAAATTGCGTGAAACGTCGGGAATTAAAAAAGTTAAAATTAAACACGACAAAATTCTTAAAATTAGTTTTATTCTATAGCTGCAGCTCTACCACGTTAAAATATATAACCTCTCCTTACTTAAGTAACTAAAAAAAAAAATGCATTAATATACTACTCACATAATTCCGTAGCGTCATCGCTATTTTGTCCAACTGCTCACTGGTATCCCGTAAGTGTCCCGTGAACCTGAAATACGAAATGTCAGGTATTCTTTATTTTCTTATTTGCGTTATATATAGATACCAGCTTTTTACCCGCGGCTTCGCTCGCGTGCGCTTGAATTTAGGAACATCATTAAATGCTGTTCCGTGCCAAATTTAGAAAAAATAGATCACTTTTAGAGTCACCTCGGTGTCTGTCTCTATGTCTGTCAAAGATTTTTTTTCATTCTAAAATACTATTAGACGTAGATGTTTGGTGCACAGACATGCTACAGAAACACGTGAATATATATGTCTAGAAACTCCTACTATTTTTTTTTATATCGGGCGTGTCTTCCGATTCCGATTTATCCATAAGAAAGGTAAATAAGTCTTTAAATCAAAATGTATTATTATTAATTACATTTTACTCTTTACATTTATTCATAGTTAAAGTTAATTTAGTTTTAACAAAGTATTATAATGTTTATTTGAGACATTTTATTCATATCATTGGTCCTATTTAATATTGGTTGGCACCATAAAATAGATATAGATATATTGTTTTTACTTCGAGTAGACTTGAAAATTTCATAAATACAGTTCTATAATAATGAAAACTACACATGGATTGAAACTAATGTTACGGGTTTTTTAAGCATCTTCGATGATAGTTCCGAGAAAAGAACATATCGTTGATGTGAAGCACCGAAGCTCCGGGAAGTCTACTTTAGATGACATACTTTATGTCAACATGTTTAGTATCGTCCCAACCATTATATCGGATCTGATAGACAACAAATCCTTGCAATAGAACACCGAATCCTACCAATGATGATTCGCGAGGCTATTGAAATTAAAAATATCCTAATTTTAATAGGTAAAATGGCTGAGTGCTACCATCTGCTAAGGACCCCATAATTAATAAAATTAAATTCAAACTACTACTGCATTTATTCTATTCTATTTTAACTATGACATCAGGTCGTCAAACACCTCAGTTCTCCCTCCCCTCCCGTGAAGTGCTGTAAAGTGTCCAAAACATCGGGAATTTAAAAAGTTAAAATTAAACGCGATAAAATCCTTAAAATTAGTTTTATTCCTTATAAATGTTATTCACAGTGAACGTGAGGATCACTACACTCATAAACGGGAGTTGAAAAAGGTTCGCCCTGTTGTGGCGGTGAAAGAAAATCCACCACCTCATATCGTGCCGTCGTAAGAGGCGACATAGGAAAACAAACTGGAGATGGGATGGGCTGCATCATCTTCTTGACAACAGATCAAAATAATAATAGCTGCGGTTGCCAACCCGCATTTTTACTTTTACCCTCATCTTTGCAAGCCTTAATATTTACTGTAGAGTGAAAACTAAAAGTCGAAAAAATGAATAAAATAAAAATTGCATATATTGCCCCATGAAAAGTAAAAAAGCAGCAGCTTACATGTTTCTAATGGGCACAGGCCACAGGGTGTTTGGCCAAAAAAGTGTTCGCTGCGCTGATTCCAACGCGGGATGAATGTAATGTTAATGATTCAATTATTTACATCGTATATTCAGTAGCATTGTATTATTTCATTTTATCAATGACTTGCCATTTTAGTTTATTTAGAAGTAAATAGGAGGCGCTAATATTAGATGAAATATTGAAAGCCAAAACCATACCATCTAGTAATATAAGCAATAGAAGCGAACACTTATTTATTATATCAATAAGGGATAAAGTGATGTCAATTCTCTTAAAATTTCTGTTTCTGTTAAAAAATACCATAGATTAGCCCCAAAAATACGCTATCAGCGCCGCTAGTGGTGAAAAACGATTTAATGATATCGTCATATGACCATATTATGAAATAGCAACGTTGTGTTTAGTTATTAATATCTTCAAACGATTTCTATTCATTGATTTGGTGAAGCTATATCATGACATAGTGAACAAATAGTGTTAAATATCACGAAATGACCACACCATTTCACGAAATAATAGACTACTTTATGATATATTATGATCAATTCTACGATCTGGCCACGACATACATAAAAATCTCTTGAATAAAACTATATGATAATGAAAATTTTGCATCAATTGCAGACATACCAGTTTTAATCACTTTACATAATATATATTAGTAATTGAATTAAATACCTTATCAATTTTCATATTTATGATAGACGTCACTATGATCTATTAAAATTATTACACTTTTAAAATAAAATAACAAAAATACTATAAAACTAAACGTTAGCGTATTTTAATAATTTTAAAAATCTAATCATTTAATCATATAAATGTAAGTTATTTATCACACACGCACGCACGCACGCACGCGCACGCGCACGCGCACACGCCGATCGACCGATCCGCGTATCGTAGGGCGAGCGGCCTTGATTGATACACAAATCCGAAACAACACGATTTTTAAGTTTTTTATGTTTTGTTTTTTGAATTTTTAAGTTTAAAAAGAAGTAAATAGCAATAATGTGATTAAAAATTACTTATATATGAAAGGTAACGCAATCTTTTTGTAAATTTGACGTGACAGATCTCTTTTTGCAGCAAAAAAAAGGGAACATAATGATTTATTATATTTACGCGAACACTACATATATAGGAATTAAAAAGTTAAATTAAACGCGATAAAATCCGTAAAATTTGTTACATTTAAAAAATTGAACCATTCGTTATTTTTGTAGGTTGTCGATTCACCCGCGGAGCTAGACTTAGTCTAGTGAGCAGTGCGGCTGAAACTTGTTTTATTGTACGCATAGTGCTGCGTGGACTTGTACTTTGACGGATGGGAACGCCTACGTATGGCTACTCCCCTCTATTCCGCCGGTGGCCTGTGTTGCCCTATCGGTATAAGTGTGGAGCGGGCACTAATATCTACATACACTACTACTACTATATTACATTTTATTATATTAGATATACACATATTATTTCTTGGAATCACACTAGAAGCTTCAATGGAGCCCCCATATATCAAAACTAGCAAGCAGACTTAGTTCTGCAGCATATGCTGTAAAAAAGATTAGAAGTTTAACCACTGTTGAAACAGCTAGACTAGTTTACTTCAGCTACTTCCATAGCATAATGTCGTATGGTATTTTGCTATGGGGACACGCAGCTGACACTGAAATTATATTTGTTTTGCAGAAGAGGGCCATAAGAGCAATTTATGATTTAAAGCCTAAAGAGTCGCTGCGACAAAAATTTAAGGAAATTAATATATTAACTTTGGCCTCTCAATACATTTATGAAAATGTAATGTACGTACACAAAAATAAAAGTAGTTTTACAAAAATAAGTGATATTCATTCTGTAAATACTAGGAACAGACACAAGCTAGTAGTACCAGTTACTTGACTCCATCGAGTCAGTAATTCATTCTTGGGGCGATGTATACGCTTTTACAACAAAATTCCAGAAAATATATAAAGTTTGGCCTGTTCAAAGTTCAAAAACTTTATTAAACTAAGTTTGTTTAAAAAGGGTTATTATAATATTAAGGAATTTATGGATGATAATAGCCCCTGGAAATGAGGTGATCGCTACCAAGCTGTTTCTAATTTGTTGTGTTGTTAATTTGTGTAACATCATGATTGTAAGCTGTTATTTAAAAAAAAGTCCCGCTGGGTTTCTTGCTGGTTCTTCCCAGGACAGAGGTTTTTTCCGAACCAGTGGTAATCAAACAAAAGAGTGACTTTCAATAAGTATTATTTATAATCTATATTGAATAAAAAAGTTTCTGTTTCTGTTTCTGTTTCTGTTAATATAATAATATAATATTTGATGGCTCCATGGCGCAGAGGCTTAGTAGTGTTAGTATAATATGTAGTTGTAGCACTATGGGTATGGGGAACAAGCATTTGTATGGCCTTCAGGTAATTGTACTGGGTCTGGGCGTTTGTCCTTGTGAAATTGATGTATGTAAACTGCCCCCAAGATACAGGAGAAAATCCTAGCTAGGAGATAAAATATTTAAAAGATATATATATTTCATACTGGAGAGGTAGGGATATAGTACCTGCTATAACCCCAGATGGAAAGCATGACAAAGGCGGCGAGCGACAGCACGTGGCCGACGAGCCTGAGCGGCCCCAACGCCACGGCGTCCGCCACCACGCTCACCACGAAGCCCAACACCAGCACCGCCGCAAACACCACCGGTGTTTTGATCATATTCATTATGTTCTTGCTTTCGTTTTGAGCGCGCAGCCTTTCGAAGTATTCTTCTAGTTCCTATTAACGACAGAAACAGAAGGAAATGAGACACTACAAATATCTACACTTATTCAAATATCTATATGTTAAGTGGGTTGACTGTAGTGAAAAACGAGACTGCTGATTACAAGGTCCCGGATTCGATTATCGGGACGGGTCAAAATTAGTTTTTGTATTTTCTGTATCAACCCAGTTATTCAATAAGAACTCGGAGTCTGAAAGTTTGGTGGTGTTTCAGACCGTGCTTCGGGGAACATGTAAAGTCGTTGTTCTGAGCTCGGTGTCCCTCGGGTTGCGTCGGTTGCCATCCATTGGATTAGCAGAGATAGACAGAGTGAGAGAGTAGGCACTACACACGTGTTAGTACACTCGTGCACTATAATCATCTTGGCGTGAAAGGAGCTGAGTGTTTCAAGTTCCTCTGTAAAGCCCACATATCTTCATATCCTTAATCAGCTGGTTTTGTAAATCTCGCAGTCTCCCATCGTTATTTTAAGTGTTTGAAGTTGCGTAAGACACAATTGAGTCAGTTGCTCCTTGTAATAGTCGGCCTTCACGTCCTATCCTATTTGGTAGAGACGTTTCAAGTTCAGGTGTACTACGTGAGTAAAACAATTAGGGGAAGCGCGGGGATAGAGGCGGGGTGCGGGAGCAGAAACCGCATTCCTATCATGCGTCTAATTGGCCAAGTTGTACCCACATACTTGGATCAACTCACCACCAATAGCCTCCAGCTACGAAGTGTACGTACCTGAATGAGCTGTTCCTCATAAGTCTGTGCCTTCGCGTCGCCGCCCATCTTCTTCCTGGCGTGGAAGCTGTGCAGCGCCTTGTCGCGGGCGCGGCGGTGCTCGCGCGCGAGCGCGTCGGCCGGCAGGTAGGGGCGCGCGCCGCCCGCCGCCTCCTCCATCAGCGTCTCGTACACCTCGCGCGCCTCCGCCACCGCCGACAGGTTGTTGGCCTGCGCCGTGGCCTGGACAAGTGGAAGGTGCACTCATTCAAGTAATATCTAATAATGTCCTCCAGACCGAATTTCGATTTCGGTCACGGCGACCAGTCTCAACGGAGACTAGCCATCTCCCAGGACAGGATTATAGTGTACGAGTGTATGCTCAAGCACAGGTACACGCTCCTTTTTTATGAGATAAGGGTGACAAGCGAGCACAGTCCATCTGATGGTAAGAGGTTGCTGTGGCCCATAGAGATCCTATAATCGTTTGCGAATCAAAATGCAGATGCGTTGTCAACCGTGAGGACTAAGATGGAATACCCCTTTTCCAGTAAAAAGGGTCGCCGGTTCTCTACAATTACCATACGAAACACAGAAGCATAAGCTTCTATTTTACGCTGGTTTTCTGTAAGAGCGTGGTCCTTCCCCAGTCGAGCCGAAGCATTCGTGCTGCAACTATACAATTAATATAGCTGCAGCATGGCTCTACCACGTATATATACGTATAGGACGGTAATCCGACACGACCATACATAGATCAAGCACAAAGCCAACGGCTTTACATGCTTTCTGATATACTGAGGTAAAACACCACCAACTTCCTAACTCCAGGCTACTACTGATAATTTCTCTTCTGATAATGTCCATCTGCCATTCACTGCCTTTAAAATTCGACGGCATTTTTTATGCACATTTTTCCAATCCCAAGTATCAATTCAACTGATTCGATGTACCGCGGCATCATAGTTGAATCCCAAACAATCGAAGGTAAAAATACTTTTGCATAGAACTTAATGCGTAATAATAATACTATATTTCAGATGACAATAGAGAAATCGAATCAGCGTAAGATTCTGTTTGTGACAGCGAAGATGATTTACAATCCGAATCAGATACTTATAGCAAAATTAAATTTGACAAAAAATTACTTTGCATACATCAGCTATATATATATATAGCCGATGTACGCAAAGTAATTTTTTGTCAAATTTAAAATAATGGACTTCCGCAAAGTAACGCATGATTCTATTAATTATAGCGAAATTGATATGTATGGTTAGTACTTGTGTATATATTTGCTATAGATAATAAATAAAAATATAAATATATAAAATATATCATTTTTTACCTTTGTAATGAAAAAGTTTAGTTTATGTATTGTATAATATCAATATTTATTCAATACTCATATCAAATGCGTCGAGTGTGATTAAAAATTTTAAATTAACACGCTTTTTCAAATCGTCTGCCACGGCTTTAGCCCCCACTTCTCTGTCTAACATTTGGTAAATTGTTCTAAATCAGCCGCATATCCCCATAGCAAAATCCCATAAGACATTATACTATGGAAATAACTGAAATAAACTAATCTAGCTGTCTCGATACTAGTGAGATCTCTAATCTTTTTTACAGTATAAGCTGCAGAGCTTAGTCTGATTTCTAGTTTGGATATATTATGGGGGCCCCACCGAAGCTTTACGTCGAGAGTGATGCCAAGAAAAACAGAGGATTCAACAGGGCTCAGTTAAAAACACACTGGTATTCAGATTTTTAACATTCGTTATTGTAAATTTAATACATTTAGTATTATCGCCGTATAAATGCAGATTATTAACGTTAAACCAATGCACTAATTTTGATATAGCATTATTCACTTCGTCACATCAAATTGATAGACGTTTAAGTTTAAATATCAAGGAAGCATTAGCAAATAATACTATATCATGATTATCCCCTACAAGGGAAGGTAAGTCATTAATATACACTAAAAATAGGAATGGGCAAAGAATCGAGCCCTCAGGGACACCCATCTTTACGGACGACCCGGAAGAACTTTTACCATTGATAATAACTTTCTGCATTCAATTACTTAAATATGAAATAATAAGTTTGAGCGCTGTGTTCTTGACACCATACTACTATAGGTTCCTGATTAATGACTCATGGTGAACATAGTCGAAGGCCTTGGAAAGGTCACAAAACACACCCAAAGCATCCTCTGAATTCTCCCATGCACAAAAAATATGTTTTATACGTTCGACTCCGGCGTTGGTAGTCGAGCGACCTCTTGTAAAACCAAGTTGATTTTTATGAAGCAAATTATTTATATTAAAAAAAAAACTTAACATCTGCTCTAAAATATTTTTTCATAAATTTTACTTAATGTTGGTAGTACATAAATTGGTCTAAAATTGGCGGGGTCTAATGTACTACCAGATTAAAAAAAGGTATGACTGTACTATGTTTCATTGGATCAGGAAACACCAGATTCGACGCTTGTATTAAAAATTGTGGCTAGCTAAGGTGCTACAGTATCTTTTATAGATGCAATAACTTTAACGGAAATCCCCCATAAGTCTGCTGATTTCTTAACATCAATATTTTTAAAATATTTAACGATATCTTTTGGCAATACTTTAGAATTTAAAAGTATTTGAACAAGACTTTACTTTTTGTTTAAGCAATGATTCGGCAACAGTAGGAGGAGAATTTAATGATTTTGTTGTCAAAAAAGGAACATCATTAAAATGTTTCTCAAAAGCCATAGCAACTTTTTGATCAGATTGAGTTAAATTATTGTTAATATTCAATTGAAAATACGAGTTCCATGGTTTGACCTTGCCCGTTTCACTATTAATTATACTCCATGTCATTTTAATTTTATCGGAGACAGTTTTAATTTTGTTGCTTATAGTAAAGCCTGTGGAGCATATTTAAAAAAAAATTTGAATAAATAAATAATACGTTTATTTCGGTAATCTTGTTAACAACATAATACTAAGACTTCCCATTGAGTAATCAGAGGATACTCGTGTTCGGAATGACCCTCTATTTCCATTAAGGACTACAAAAAAAGTAAGATTACAAAAAGTTTAACCTCTAGAAAATTTGTAACTAGTATGTGTATATTAAGAAGTGTGTAAATGTGAGTGTAGGAGTTTTGTTGTATGTATGATGTAGGGGTGTGTGTGTGTGTATGTGTTGGTGGATGAAGAGAGTATAAGTAAGAAGACTAGTTGCCTTGCAAAATAAAATTTTACTGATCAAATATGAAAGATGGCATACTGTTAGACTGTGTAAATGTATATATGTAAGATGTAGGTGAGATATATTTCAGACAATTCTATTTAAAAGATTTTCAACCTCATCATAAGTCACTGTATACAACCAATGCATTAAAGTTTTTTTGCATATATTTAATTGCATATGATATATTTTAAGTATTTTATTTAACTTATTGTATATAAAAGCAGACAGACATGGGTACTGTCTAATAGCAAAGACAGTACGTACAAGAGGTATAGGCGCCACAATATCAGTTCTTCTCTTTGTTTGAAGGGATTCATTAAACGGAAGGGATTTTAGAATGAGGTTAAGAACATAAAGCTTTCTAACTGAGAGAATTTTACTAATCTGATATAGGGTGTTACTAGAGAATCTATGGGGTTTGAAATACATGACTTTTATAAGAGACCTCTGTGCTCTTTCCAGATCTAAAAGTTGGTCTTGATGGCTCCTTCCCAGATTGGGATGCAATAGGAAATTATAGATTGTACTAAGGCTATATAAATTTTATTTAATAGAGTGGAGTAAGATTATCCCTCAGGCATTTCGAATATGTTTTTACATACTCTCTAAATATAACACTATGATTATATGATCTTTCATTATAAAGCTCGTATAACTTTCATCTACTTTTATAAATTCCTATTGTCGCCCATTCATTAAATTATTTGCAACTGTTTATAGACAAAGTTTTAGAAGTAAATATTCTATTATATTCACAAGTTATAATTTTAAATAATGAACCATACAAATAATCAGCACTATTTTTAAATGAAAGTGATGGAAGTCCTTTTACTACGTTACTTCTAAATCTCTCCAAACGATGTTAATTTATTGGAACAAACACAAATTTCTGATTTTTGTTTTTGTGTATATAAGACAATTAGACCAACTGTCCACTGTGATCTGAACTTAAATTTTGAATGATTGATTTATGCAAGGGCTTAACATGTAGTAGTCATTAGTCAAATATTTATAATGAAAAGCCCCGACGCTAATTTCGCTTTGTGGTGTTTTTGGGTTAATCACAACGTGTCATATATCGCTTTGTGATTAAATAATAAATTAAAAACAAAACATCGCATTGTGGACGATTGCTTCACCCAGTGCTTTCATTGCATTTGAAGCTTAAACGTCCAGTGTAATTTAATGCCTCGGCCACACTATGCTCGCCGCGCTGCTCCTCGAACTGCCGCGACGTTGCCCTCTCTACCTACACAATGCTCTACTCGCGCAAATAATCGCGACGCTCCGCACTAGGTCGCTCGCGTTTGCAACACAATGGTTGTTGAAACTGCGGCAGCATGTGCTATATGCATTTATAGTATAGCTATTTATATCAATGTCATAAAAAAGAAATATACGCCGTCGTTCCCACCAACAGAGATGGTGGATGACATATATTCACCGCAATAGAACGACGCTTCCGTAACGAGCCCCCGATTCGGACTGCGTTCGCGCGATTATGTAGACGGCTACTCACGCCGCTGTTGCCAGTCCTTTGACTCGCGCCAAAAAAACCGTCAAAACAGGGAGCGATGGGCATAACGTGCGGTATGATGAGTATTGTGGCCACACTACGTCTCTGCCTCCTTTCCTCGCTACTTCCCATGCCACTCAACGAGTGTGTGGCCAGGGGGTGAAAGTAACATTAAGACAATATGTCATCAATTAATTTATCGCGGAGCTAGAACTACTACTTACTGCTGATTTGATGGAATTATTTGTATGTGTAATGGAATCATTATTGTAATTAAATAAAATTTTATCGAAATAAGCACAAAAGTGCAAAACGCGTACGCAAAAGCCACCGTGAGAAACATCGTGTTATTAATGTTTTTGATGGCAGACGTATTGGCAATCACACGTTTCACGTTTTTCCCGTCGCCAATACGTTACCGACCTGGCGATAAATACCGCCATCTACCGGAAGTCATAACATCCTTCTGGCATATCCTAAAGCCACCTCTTGGTCACCTAGGGGAAGTAATTGGGTGGATTCTCTTTCGCCTCTACCAATACTTTTTTTTATAGAATAAGGGTCCACCTGGCAGTAAGTGAATCTAGTAGCCAATAGATATCTACATCAATCCTTGATTAAGAATCCAAATGCAGATGCGTCATCACCCCTGAGGACTAAGATAGAATGTCTCGTTCCAGTAAAAAGGATCTCCGGTTCTCCTACATTCACCATATGAAACATAGCATCGTTAAGCTGCTATTTCATGCTGGTATTATTTAAGAGCGTGGTCCTTCCCCGGTCGAGCCGACCCATTCTACAACTATAATACAGCTGCAATGTGGCTCTATCACATTAAAAATTCTATTAGTTTTAAAAGATAAACTCTTACTTCTAGAATGGTCTGAGGAACTGGTAATTCACTTCCATTGAACACTTCCATGTAAGCCTTAATGTAGTGGAACAGTTCCTTCGCCTTCAGCGTCTCTCCCGACATCACCTTAGGCTTCAAGTTCTTCGGTGCCAGCAACATTGGCACGAGGTCTTTCAGCTGCTTCTTGAACTCCGCGTCTATGTCTGTCGGTATTATAGAATAGACTAAAATAGAACATCTAATCTTCCTATCGGACGGAGCAAAGTACACACAATTTCCTGGAATGTCAAAGCCTAAACAAATATTATAAAGCAGAAATTCCAAGTGTGACGAAACATTTTCGTCATACAAAATGAAAAATAATAGAAAAAAAAAACTGAAGGCCAGAGGCAGATTAAATATCGACATCGCCCTAGGCTAGCACATCATCGGCGCCCTCTAGCGGCCATAAATTATAAATTATAACTACCCATTTTGCAAATAAACAATATCTAATATATAAAATTCTCGTGTCGCGGTGTTTGTTACCAAACTCCTCCGAAACGGCTGAACCGATTCGTAAGAGTTTTTGTGTGCATATCGGGTAGGTCTGAGAATCGGCCAACAACTATTTTTCAAACCCCTAAATGATAAGGGTGATCCACCCCTAAATATTTTTTTTAATTTTTGACAAAAAAAATTTATTTTTATTTTATTATGATTCAGCATTGAAAAATACATAAAACTGCAAATTTTCACAAACGTTCTACGATCAACCCCTGTTTTTGATCGCGATTTTTAAAACTAAAAAATATTTCCTAGAAATAATGTATATGGCAAAACAACGTTTGCCGGGTCAGCTAGTTATAATTTACAATATAGCTTCAAAATAATGATGACACGAGTACTCCAATTACAGGTGGGCGTGAATGAAAAATGTGATCAGAGCATGAGGGCGATGTAGGAGTAAACAAATAGATAATTTTTTTTAAATTTTAAAACTTGCTTTTTAACCTTGCGCCTCTAGGCACGTGCCTAGTTTGCCTTAAAGATAATCTGCCACTGGTGAAGGCTAACCGCCGCTTAAATTTTCACCTAATGGAGTAGGTATATAATATTTTCTATGTGAATGGGTATCTAGGTTGTGGCCTCGTTGCAATCTATATTTATAGCTCAGTAAAATTTTCAGTGATACTTTTGTTGCTATGTTATTATGCAAGGACTTCCAGCAAAGTATATTCCGGTAATGTTGCTTTAACTGTGTACGTGAAGTCATATCGAGGCTATAGGCTAAGTAATATTGACCAAAGAGTATAGTAATATATGACATTGACTTTGACAGCTATACAATTAACCCTACAAATTGCCACTTACGCTAGAAATAACTCGCTTACGAGCGGTTTTAGTTATCATCTATGTTTTAATTGTTCTAAACTTCAATGTAAAAGCGAAGTACCTAAAATGGGGTGAATAGAAATCGCGGGGTGAATAGACACAAGTCTGGTTATTTGATAAAGTTGTCTCTAGGTTTTTCTACAGCTCGGTAACGTCTGTTTATTACTACTGTTTATTATTTGCCAACATTTTTCCTTTATTTTGGTAAGCTTTAAATTAGTATCAATTTTGATGACAGTATAGAAAAGGTACAGTATTATAAACGTGTGAGTACAAGTGGTTTTATGCTGTATAAAACTTTTAGTTAAACATCAAGTTCTTCATTGTTTCCTTGTTGCAAATTTTTTTTAGGGAGTTCAGTTTCTCATCTATTTAATAATAGATGAGAAACTGAACACCCTTATTATTAATAGTATTAATATACAAATATGAATATCGATATTCAACGATTTTATTATTTTAAATAGGAAAATCAGGATACTGGTATTTTTTCTCGAATACGAGGTGAATAGATACGACTGAGGGGTGAATGAAAACGCCTTTGGGGTTAATAGAAACGAAGAAAGGGGTGAATATATACGAATGAGGGGTTAATAGAAACATGATTTTTAGGGTTGTAAAAAATTATTTGCACCATTTACTTACTACATAAATTAATTTAAGTATCTAGCTAATTGAAACTAAAATTAAAAAAAAACGTTTAAACCATATTAAAGGTATTTAAAAGTCTTCTATTATAAATGTTAAATTTTGATATTTGTTATACGTTAAAATCCCAAATACTTGAGGTTTTACCATTACACCAGATAAATGTTCCTGCAGTAAATATACTTAGTGTGCTCACATGATTTAGTTCTATCTAGTATATAAATATATCATTCATTATACTTGTATATTACTGTTTAACAGAGACGCTCGGTATACGAGTTAAAAAAGTATCTAAGCGGTGCGGAATAGGTGTGACGCGAGTTATTATAGCTTCAAGTCCCCATATTATGTAAATTTACATTTATGTACTAGTACTTACATAATTTTATAAATAAGTAATAGTGATTTTTAATCTTATCTTGTTACCTACAACTTAAAATACCACAGGTTATTAATCAAAACACGTAGTATTATAATTGGTGTTATATAGTTTAACAAACTTTGAATCATTTTTTTTATTTTTATTTTCATTACTAAAAATATGTTCAAAACTATGTAAGCAGTGGCTTATTTATCTAATGACTTTGTGTCGGACATGCTTACGCTGCAAAGCAGTTAAATTACATTACTCTGGTATTTTTAATTTATATAATATGGAATTGTATAAATATTAGATTTATTAACTAATTATTTTTTATAATGACAATTGTTATGTAGTTATGTTTTCTTTCATTTGACTCACAAGCTCACAACCTACATACTACAACAAAAGTAAATTTGACAACCCTGGCATTTTTTCTATATTCACCCCTATTTCGTATCTATTAACCCCGGATTCCCGGTATATAGAAACAGACTACTTTTTTTCTAAAATACAACGAATATGCACGTTTTTACTCGTTTGAAGCATTAATGTTCGATAAACCACAACAAGACTCACAACATTAAAGTGTTTTATCATCAGTTTATATACAATATATGTAAGAAAAACAGTGTAGACGTTGAAAGTTGTGTCTATTCACCCCATTTTACGGTATTTATTTATTTGTAATATATAGCCTGTTATTACTTTAAGCTCTAAGGGCGCAAGAGTAAGACAAGTGTAAACTCAAACTCAACATTATCAAAACTCAAGTCTAGTCCACACTACACTCCTGGTCCAGACCTTATTTTTCATATATATCATAGACAATATCAATATTTTATTTTTTCATACCTGACAATTTACCGTTGAACTCGGGGCTCGTTGCCACTTTCATGCCTGGATGCGGTAACAGAAAGCACGACAACTTCGCAAAGAACGATTTGATCTCTCGCCGAAGAGTCTTCAATTCTTCGTGTTGGTTTTCATTCACCTGGAACATTTAAATTTTATCTCAGTCGTACGCAGTGAAATATTTACGCCTTGCTCGTTCTTACGTTTTTCGTTTTCGGAACTTTTAGGTTTTAAACCTATACAGGGTTATTTTGCAATACCCGGCCGAGAAGGTTCAGAATAAGTAATATAGGCAAATGGTGAAGAAACATTTATTAAAACATTCTGTCCCTTTTTTTTTAAATTCAAAATGCGTGGTAATGCATTATATATATATATATATGGAGTATATATATATATATGGAGTATATATATATATATATATATATATATATATATATATATTTATACCGACATTTAACTGATATTATATATATATATAATATAAAAATGAATCGCTTAATGTGTTGCTAAGCGCAAATCTCGAGAGCAGCTGAACCGATTTCACTAATTCTTTTTTTATAATATTCCTTGAAGTACGAAGATGGTTCTTACGGAGAGAAAAATTTAAAAAATTGCCTGAAAAAGTCTAAAAACAACACTTTTCTATATTCCCATACAAAAGATTCGCAATAATACTGTTGCGCGCCACTATTAATATCTTGTACATGGCAACACTAGTTACACTAGCGCCCTCTAGTGTCGAGTAAATGAAAGTATTGCGCGCCACTATTAATGTCTTGTACATGGCAACACTAGTTACACTAGCGCCCTCTAGTGTCGAGTAGCAGAACTAGGAGAGTCGAGATCCTTCCAGAAATTTCGGGACCGATATGTACTCGAACATTCTAGATGTCGCTACAGTAGAAGGTTCTGGAAACTATCTGAGGCCCTATATAAGGTCGGTATAGACCACGACCGAGGCAGTATTGAATTGGCGATACAAGAGAATACTTGGAAGCGAAATAACGGCGAACTGTGTTTTATTATTAGTGTGTTTTAAGGTGTAATTAGTGTCCGTAATTAAAGTGTCAATTTTGGTAATTTAATCGGCAGTTTTTAATTGTCTCGAACCTCAAGCTCGTAACAATTGGTGTCAGAAGTGGGATCAAATATGCCGATTTTACCTAAAGACGACACGGAGGGTATTCGTACCCGAAGTCAACGCCAACAGGAGACGGACCAGAGACGATTTGGTAATGCAACGCCGCAAACGTCGGAGGGCCAGTTGCTAACCACGGAGGCTGGCCCGTCAGCAGCTCCTGCATCTGCAGCACCTGACTTAGGTGCTCTGATGATGATGCTGCAGGATCAGGCTCGCCGACAGGAGGAACAGGCCCGCCGATAGGAGGAACAGGCCCGCCGACAGGAGGAACAGGCCCGCCGACAGGAGGAACAGACCCGTCGGCTGGAAGAGCAGCTGCAGCGCGGTATGGAAGAACAGATGCTCCTCAGGAAGGACCTTCACGCTACCTTCGGGAAAGAGATAAAGGAGGTGAAGGATAGGGTTGCTCAACATGACAACCGCCTGTCGGAAGCTGAAACCCGAATCGACCAAGTGAACAATCGGGTTGACAACGTGATGGCTGATGTAAAGAAAACGCTGGACGACCTCAAACTTGGGGATGGAATCACAGCTCCCGTGGTAGCTACAACACCTTCGCTACGTGGATTCAAAGTGCCGCCGTTCGACGGGAGTTCTTCCTGGTCGGCCTACAAAATCCAGTTCGAGGCTGTCATGAAAGCGAACGGCTGGAATAAAAGTCAGGCCATGACTGCTCTCACCCTAGGCCTACGCGACCAGGCCTTAACTGTTCTGGAAGCTCTCGGTAAGGAAGTAACTTACGAGCAGCTCCTTGAGGCATTGGAGGCAAGATATGGCGATGCTCACCTGGAACACGTCTTTCGTGCGCAGCTCAAAGATCGCGTGCAACGCAGTAACGAAAACCTGCAGCAGTGGGCCCTTGAGGTGGAGAAGCTGGTTCGAAAAGCGTACCAGTCTGTACCTGTGCTCATTGTAGGGAACCTGGTGCAGACTTTCATCGACGGCATCCGAGACCTTGAAGTCAGAGCTGCTGTGAGGCTCGGGCACCACGAGACGCTTAAGGACGCCCTGACCCATGCACTGGAGGTGGAAGCCGTGCGGCAGGATCATCGTTCCCACCGCGTCAGGGAGGTTGCAGCAGCTACAGTTCAGGACCGCAATAAGGGCTACAACCCTAGGTGCTACGGCTGTGGGGAAAGGGGCCATCTTCGATCCAGCTGCCCTAAACGAACTGTAGAAAGGGAAGGTGATCGATCTCGAGAGGGTAGTGCGGATAATAGCACCGCCCAGCAGCAGCAGGGAAACGAGTAAAAGCCAGGACTGCGGGGCGGGTGCTGGCTGATGTTAAAAGAGCCCCAAGGATTTCGATCTCACAAACCCATGATGGGAACAGCCTAATCATCAAGGGCGAAGTCAACGGAACGCGGTGTAAACTGACCATAGACACTGAAGCCTCTCGCACGGTTGTCAGTTCCCAACTTATAAGTCGGTTCCTTGGGGACTCCGCATACAACCGAGAACGCATTAATTTGGTGACAGCCACCGGTCAGCGCATACCCGTCCGTGGAGAGAAGGAGATGGAGTTGAAGCTAGGCAACATGATCTACCTGCATAATGTCATCGTGGCTGATATAATGGACGACTGCATCCTGGGCCTAGACTTTATGAGGAAGAATTGTTGTGAGATCGACGTTAAGCAAGGTGTTTTGAAATGTGGACAAGAAGAACTTTTCGTGGAAGGGGCGTTACCAGGGAATGTGTACAGCCTTAAGAAGATTGTTCTTCCGCCGAGATCGGAAACGATTGTGCCGGTTAGTCTTCCTCGGAGTCCTGGGCAAGCTCATCGTTGTGTACTCGTGGAAAGGGTAGACAATGACCTTCCATGGAAAGTGGCTCGAACCTTGGTCAGAACCACCGACATCTCAGGAGTATGTGTGTTGAACCTTTGTGATCAGGAACAGATTATAGAAAAAGGCACATTGGTTGGTACTAGTGAGGAAGTGGATTGGTTGCGTCGATGCGAATATCTATCGACCGGGACCCCCAGCAAGGATGGACAAACGATAGTGACCACACTTTTAGAAGACTGTCGCAGCGTTCTTTCCCCGAATGAAATGGTCAAGGCGAAGAAGTTGTTACTCAAGTACGCCAATGTTTTCTCGTCAAACGAAGCTGACATAGGAAAGACTGGCTTAGTTCAACACAAAATAAACACAGGACAAGAATTGCCTATTCGTCAGCGGCCAAGAAGATTGCCTGTAGCACGTGAAAAGGAAGTGGAAACCATGATTGAGGGAATGGTGAAGGATGGTGTTATTGAACCTTCATCTAGTCCATGGTGTTCACCTGTGGTGCTGGTAAAGAAGAAGGACGGCAGCGGCAGCATGCGGTTTTGTGTAGACTACCGTCGTCTGAACGACGTTACGAAGAAGGACAGCTATCCCTTGCCAAGAATTGATGACATGCTTACAGGCGTAAAGTGGTTTAGTACGCTGGACCTGAAAAGTGGCTACTGGCAGGTTGAAATTGACCCTAATGACAAGGAGAAAATTGCATTCTCCACAGGAAAGGGTCTGTGGCAATTTAAAGTCATGCCGTTTGGATTGTGCAATGCTCCAGCAACGTTTGAAAGGTTGATGGAGCTTGTACTTACCGGGCTAATTGGAGATGCCTGTCTGGTCTATTTGGATGACATCGTCATCGTAGGCCGTACGCTTGAGGAACACCTTCAAAACCTGGAACGCGTGCTCATGAAGATCCAGAGTGCCAACCTCAAGTTGAGTCCAAAGAAGTGCTCACTATTCAAACGGCAAGTTAGTTTTTTGGGGTATGTAGTGTCGGAAGAAGGTATCCGCACGGATCCAGAGAAAATTGCTGCTGTCAAGGAGTGGCCGGTTCCAAAAGACAAGACACAGGTTAGAGCATTTTTGGGTTTGTGCTCTTATTATCGGCGATTTGTGAAGAACTTTGCAGATATAGCCAAACCTCTGCACAAGCTAACCGAGGAGAAGCGACATTTCTGCTGGGATGAAAGTTGCGATATTGCATTCCAGGAGCTCAAGAACCGCTGTGCAAAACACCTATTTTGGGGTACCCTGATGCGGGCAAGGAATTCATAGTTGACACAGACGCAAGTGATATAGGACTTGGCGGTGTGTTGTCTCAACGGAATGGTGATCAAGAGATTGTGATAGCGTACTTCAGCAAGTCGTTGTCAAAGCCGGAAAGGAACTATTGTGTCACAAGACGAGAATTGCTTGCTGTGGTAAAGTCCTTGCAGCATTTTAGCAAATATCTCCTGGGGCGGAAATTTTACTTACGAACTGACCATGCTGCACTGAAATGGCTATTGCAGTTCAAAAATCCTGAAGGACAAGTTGCGAGATGGATTGAACTACTACAGGAATACGACTTTGTGACCGAACATCGCAGCGGGAAATCTCATGGCAATGCAGATGCATTATCAAGAAGACCTTGCCCTGAAGATTGCAAGCATTGTACTAGACAAGAGGGTAAAGAAGTGGTATCTGCGAGGATATTCAGGACAGACCAGCTCAGCAATGAATGGAAGGACAGCCTACAACATGCACAGCAGGAAGATTCGGACATTAAGCCGATTCTGGAATGGATGAAGGCCAGTGCTCCTAAGCCCAAGTGGAGCGACGTCTCAGCAATGAGTTCGACCACGAAAAGCTATTGGGCCCAATGGGACAGCTTGCTGATTCAGGATGGAGTCCTGTGCCGTAAATGGGAAAATGGTCGGGGAGACAGGTGTCATTTGCAAATGGTTGTCCCTAAGGCTAAAGTACCGGATGTCCTACAGCTGTACCATAGTGGTTGTTCAGGAGGCCACCTGGGAGTTAAGCGAACTCTCCTGAAGATCCGAGAACGGTTTTACTGCGTCCACTGTCGTGACGATGTCGAGGACTGGTGCCGCAAATGTACAAGTTGTGCGGCTGTAAAGGGACCTCAAATTCGTAGTAGAGGCGCATTGAAATTGTACAATGTTGGTGCACCATGGGAGAGGATAGCCATTGACGTTGCGGGGCCGTTTCCAGAAACTG